CAATCCTTGCCTATACGCAATCATATCAACTACAATAATGAATATAATAACTTTACAATAAAACTAATGACTTGAAGTTCTTTAAACTATATACCTTTCATACATAACTATGTCCTCATTGAGTACAATCTTCGGCTATATACACACTAATATTCTAAATAAATATATCATTTCCCAACTGGTTACATATTTTTTAATAATCTAATGCTATTTATGTCTAGTAAATTAAATATACAAAGAATTTAAAAACAGTAATCTGTATTTATAAGCTTATCAATTCTTGCAAAGAAAATGAACCGAAATTATTTAACATAAGGTCACTTGTCCCCAAAATATGCAGTGCGTTCCAAAAACTGTCCTTAAAGTGTTTAATCTATTGCTGTATAAAATTTGATTTTTCAAACGTAGTACATTTTCCTGTCCTTGTTAGAAAACTAAAAATTATTTTAATATTGTTATATATTTATGTTTAATTATAGAATATATTTTTAAATTTTTGCTAAATATTACTGTAATAAAAACCTCATTAAACTTCTAAAGTAAGTAATACTAATTGAAAATGTAACGTGAAACTCTACAATCTATATTTTTATAAGCAATATTGTCTCCGTCAAATACAATCCATGCCTATACGCAATCATATCAACTACAATAATAAAAACACTAATTTTATAATATAACTAATGACTTTAAAGTCTTTAAACTATAACATTCATACCTAAGTATGTCCTCATTGAGTACAATCTTCGGCTATATACACACTAATATTCTAAATAAATATTTCATTTCCCAACTGGTTACATATTTTTTAATAATCTAATGCTATTTATGTCTAGTAAATTAAATATACAAAGAATTTAAAAAACAGTAATCTGTATTTATAAGCTTATCAATTCTTGCAAAGAAAATGAACCGAAATTATTTAACATAAGGTCACTTGTCCCCAAAATATGCAGTGCGTTCCAAAAACTGTCCTTAAAGTGTTTAATCTATTGCTGTATAAAATTTGATTTTTGAAACGTAGTACATTTTCCTGTCCTTGTTAGAAAACTAAAAATTATTTTAATATTGTTATATATTTATGTTTAATTATAGAATATATTTTTAAATTTTTGCTAAATATTACTGTAATAAAAACCTCATTAAACTTCTAAAGTAAGTAATACTAATTGAAAATGTAACGTGAAACTCTACAATCTATATTTTTATAAGCAATATTGTCTCCGTCAAATACAATCCATGCCTATACGCAATCATATCAACTACAATAATAAAAACACTAATTTTATAATATAACTAATGACTTTAAAGTCTTTAAACTATAACATTCATACCTAAGTATGTCCTCATTGAGTACAATCTTCGGCTATATACACACTAATATTCTAAATAAATATTTCATTTCCCAACTGGTTACATATTTTTTAATAATCTAATGCTATTTATGTCTAGTAAATTAAATATACAAAGAATTTAAAAAACAGTAATCTGTATTTATAAGCTTATCAATTCTTGCAAAGAAAATGAACCGAAATTATTTAACATAAGGTCACTTGTCCCCAAAATATGCAGTGCGTTCCAAAAACTGTCCTTAAAATGTTTAATCTATTGCTGTATAAAATTTGATTTTTTAAACGTAGTACATTTTCCTGTCCTTGTTAGAAAACTAAAAATTGTTTTAATATTCTTATTTATTTATGTTTAATTATAGAATATATTTTTAAATTTTTGCTAAATACTACTGTAATAAAAACCTCAATAAACTTCTTAAGTGAGTAATCATAATAGAAGATGTAACGTTAAACTCTACCATCTATATTTTTAATACGCAATATTTTCTCCAGAAAATAAAATCCTTTTCTGTGAGCAGGAAGATCTACCACAATATGTTTAAATTGTTTTTTACTAGTGAAATGACAGACATTATTTAAATCCTATTTCTGTTGAAAAAATCGTTTGTAGAACAGATTTACGAATTTAGTAGCCTGCTTTTAGAAATATTTTAATTTACTACGGAAGATTTAGACAGAAAATTTTTGACATTGGAACCTAAGTCCCCAATCTATACAATTGGTTTCTAAAATTGACCTTTAAGGTTATGTTATCCAGTGAGGGATTTTAACATTAAAGCTCAATAAAAAAATTCTACAGTGAATATCATGACCTACAATGCGCAATTATTTGCATTTTAAATCCCGAAACGTAGTAATTATTTTTTTCTAACTACAAACCTGTTAATTATTTGAAAGTGTTATTAATAAATGATTATTTAATACAATGGAATTTTTCAATTTTATTATATTACTATTGTTATAAATTTATCTTCAGTAAACCTATAAAAAATCACTATTTAATAGCACAAATGACTTTAATGTCTTCAAATACATAACTTTGTCCTCATTGAAATCAATTTTTGACTATATACACACTAATTTCCGAAGTAAATATATCATTTTCCAATTGGTTTATATATTTTTTATTAATATAATGCTATTTATTTCTAGTAAATTAAATATACAAAGAAGTTAAAAAACAGTAATCTGCTTTTAGAAGCTTTTTAATTCTTGCAAAGAAAAAAAACCGAAGATATTTAACATAAGGTTACTTGTCTCCAAACTATACAGTAGGTTCCAAAAACTAACCTTAAAGTGTTTAATCTATTGCTGTATAAATTTTAAAGTTTCATCCTAATACATTTTTTTGGCTGTAAACTATCTATTATGTTGCTACATGAAAATGCTTTATTTAGTTATTGTATTAGCTAAAACAATAATTACTATTTTTTCTTTTTTATTATGTTTTATATGTTTCTTTTAAGTCTAAATAGACGAATACAAATTTTTTATGAAAATTCTAAAGGAATAACTTATTTATTTAGTCATGTTGTGAGTTGTGTAAAATATTTGTTTTTTGATGTATAAGATCAGAAATTGTTTTTTTGTTATACTTTGCCGTACACTTTAGATACGATTTGCTGTAAAATTATTCTTTTGGCCTTAAAAGCATTTAACCTTATTGATTAAATGTTATCAGATTTTGTTTTATTAAGGTAAGAGTGTTTTCTTTATGTGTCTTCAAAGAATACGTTGTGTATAAATTATTGTTCTTAAACTATATACTGAGTATATAAATTACGTCTGAGCCAAGTGCATAGTTTAAGGACATTCTGTATTTACTAGTTTTTACATGTAGTCTATTGATTTTAAGGACAGTCTTCAATATATCTCTTCTATCGTGAGGTCTTCAAACAATTAATTGCCTTAGAAAAACCGTCTAATAATTTATAATTCTACCTTATAAATAAAATGTGAACCATATTCGACGACTAGAGGCCAGGCCCTATCGAATTATATTGAGAAAATTGAGGTCCCCAAACTATCGCTTGTACATACATATATATATATATATATATATATATATATATATATATATATATATATATATATATATATATATATATATATATATATATATATATATATATATGTAACTGATATACTGATATATATGTGCCTTAGTCGCAATGATTAATTCACGGCTAGATTTTTGCATATATAATTTCTATAAAGATACAGTTTTTCTAATAAATATTAAATAGACAATAACTTGATATATTAATATTACAAATAATTATATTTTGTTGGAATTATTTTTATACAGATTTTATAGATTGTCCTCTGATTTTTTATATAAATTCAAGTTTTCATTTTCGATATACTTATACTAGAAGTACTTAATTTTCAAAATTGTTCATAAATATTCCATATTTTGAAAACATCTATTTTACAAATTCTGATTATTATTTTGATAAAAATTGTGTTAAAATGTATATTCTAATAATGGAAGGGGTCATCCATGAATTATGTTTACAGTTCTGATGCTCATTTTCAACCTTTTTCACCTCTACTCATGTTATATACACTGATGTGTACATATCGACATTTTCCCTGTTGGATATCACAAATAACTTGATCTCTTTTTCTCTTGAAATATAACTAAATTGTATGAATAATCTCTTAAAATATTACAAAATGTATGAATAATTTTTAGTTATCGTTTAAATTTTATACAAAATTATTAAAACCAAATATTTTATAATATATCTAATTTTTCTTTTTTTGTTTTATAAAAAATAAAATTTAAGAAAAACATATTATGTAATTATTTAAATTATTTTTATTCTTTAACTATTAGAAAAAGGTTTCTTATAGACTAATAATTCTTAACTAGAATTATAATTAAATTTGGTTGTATATAGTGATACAAATGAAATGATTGTTAATTCTAGAATTTTTTGAGGTTTTAGGATTTTTTAATTGAATAAATTTCAAACTAGATGGTCTTTATATTTACTGGTTTCAAACATTCAATTATATTTTTTTAAAAATAAATTAATTTACAGAGATTTTATACGATAATTATTTTTCGAAACTGATCATATATTAGTAACGTTAAATTTAATTATTTCATAATTTTTATAAATTATTTACTTCAATTCAATATTAAAAAATTTACAATATTTAATTTTTTTAAATGCTATTACTGGAAGCTAAATTATTTAAAAATGGAGTAAATTAACTCCATAAAATGCAGTTTTCTTGTGTTAATTATTGCAGGGATATATTTGATTACACTGTATAATATAATAATAATTTAACATTTATTAATATTTTATTTTTTATTCTCGTTTAAAAATTGATAAATTGATAAATAAAAAAATAAATAAAAATAAATAAAAATAAATAAATTAAATAAATTAAATAAATAAATAAATAAATAAATAAATAAATAATCAAATAATAATAATAATAATATAATTAAATAAATAAATTATTAATAATAATAAATTGATAACATTATGTCATTTTTAAAATTTAAATAATATTTTTTCAGTTGTTTTGTGGTTTTGTTTATATATTTATTTTTTATTTATTTCTTATTTGTTTAAAAAATGTTCTACATGTGAATAAAAAATATTTTTAACATTCTTTTGCAGATTCTAATATTTTTTGTAACATGGCTGTCTCATTTACCTCGTCTGAAGCAATAGAAGAAATCCAATTTTGGGATAGAACAGTGTACGTTACGTAAAACTAATGGATTTATTTTTAAATTCCATTATACATTTAAATTTTTATTTTAAAAATCATTTAAAATTAATGCATTTTTAATGCATTTTTTAATGCATTTTTTTAATGCATATTTTCGACAAGTTATTATTTATTATATAAAACACTTTTGTGATAAAAATTTGAAATTACAATGTATTAAACTTAAAAGATCAATTAAGTTTCTGAAATTTAAGAAAATTTATTTATGATGATATGAAAATTCTTTGACAGTTGAAAATTTTTCTAACTCAAAACTTTTTTTTTTGGATTAAGTATTGATTTTATACAATACTTTTTAAATTTAATTTAATTACTTTAATTTATTACTAATTTAAATTTTATTTTTACATAGATATTTATAATACCTACGTCTATACGAATTAAAGTGAATAAACTTTTAGGACATTTAGTATTCAAGTCATTTGAATAAATTGTATTGTCTTATATTTTTTTATAATATTTTTTAAATTTCAGAGAAATTATTGGTTTTGTTGAGAAGATCATTCCTAGAAAAGCAGCAGGTGCCTCCGAATTATTGAAATTCTATTTGTCAAACCAAAATGGAAAATCTATTCAATGCGTCGTTTGGGGGCCTGCAGACATTAATGCTTTGGAAGAGCATATTGTTCTACATGAGGTATATTTTTAAAGTCGTTACTGTTTGTGAAGTTTTCTATTCTTTTTTTAATTACCCACGTATTAAAAATAATTGACCAATTTATGAAATTTATTCATTTTGTAGATATTGCATATCGATGGGGCTTGGGCAAGAGTACCTTCAAAAGTTGAGTTTAATAAGGGAAATGTTCCGTTTGAACTACAATTATTTTCCAGTACAATTATCAACTCCTTGGGACAGCATTTGGTAGTTATTGAGAATGAGGATATTGAAATAGTGGATTTGCCGAATGTCATTCATTTCGATTCAACAAAAACCATTAGTAAATACAATTTACGAATAATTTTATTAAATGTGACATTATTTATTACCTATTAATTAGTTACCAAATACATTTTTTCTTATTTAGTTTTATCTGCAATTACAAATATTACAGTACTGAATTCTGTGATTAATAATGTTCAATAATTCTGTTTTACGATAATAATTTATATTTTTTTCTCAAATTAAAGTAATAATAATATATTATATATATATATATATATATATATATATATATATATATATATATATATGCAAACGGAATACGGACTTTAATATTGTTAATAATTAATAACTAGCTAAAACAAACGCGCGTAAACGCGCGTAAATACTTGCTAGGCGCAACTGGCATAACATAAGAACCCTGATTACCTTAAAAATAATGTAAGAAAATAAATAAATGTTGCAATAATTTTAATTAATTGTGCCTAATGTATTCAATATCATTTAAAAAAAAGATTAACAAATTATGCATAATTTTAACATAGTCTTATATAATAACTAGGGGGGCTTCGCCCCCCTGCGCGCTTCGTGCGCCAACCCCTTAACTATTTTTAATATTTATTTTAATTTTTAAAATCATGTTATCCTAATATGATGGCATAGTAATGAGTTAGAGTAAGTTATAACAGGAGATATTAACAAAGATAACTAATAGAGAATTCTACTTTACGGAAGTGATTATAGTGTCAACTTTTTCAAGTTTGACACTCCTCATAGTAAATTTGATAATTCTTTTTTCTCAGTGTCAAAAGTATTATTGGGCCCCTTTTTACCTGCAGTTGACATAAATGTTGACGTAATGTAAGGGCCATTAGGGGCTGTCCATAAATTACGTAAGTCATTTTTTGGGTACATTTGACCCCCTTCCTCGCTCGTAAGATATTTTACATACATTAGCGCCATTTTTCCTATTGTTCGCAAGATCTTGCTGACCCCCCTCCCCCCTAAATGTCTTACGTAATTTATGGACGGACTAAAGATTTCGACGTAAAATAATAGACGTTTGTGGGCTTCATTTCTACCCGTAGGTCAAAACTGACCTTAAAATTGACCTAAATTTTGCGGAAACAGTAGGTCAGTAGGAATTTTCTTGTCAATTTTTGACGTGTAGGTCAAAACTGACCTTAAAATTGACCTAAATTTTAAGAAAATATCAGATCAGAGGGAGATTTCTGGTCAAATTTTAACTTTTAGGAAAAAACTGCCATTAAAATTAAAGTACATTTTGAGGACAGAAAAATAATTTTAACAGAATTTTTAAAAACAATATGTCAATTTATAACATCTTTTATTGATTGAAACTTAATATTGAAATTTAGGTCAAACTTCTTTTAACCAATAAGTCGAAAATTCCGTCAAACTTTAATATAAGGGTACGACTTTTTAAAAAATCCTAATTAATTTGCTTTTTTTATGTATAGGCTAAAAAATATGTCAAATTTGACCTAAATTTTAAAGAAAGGTCGGGTCAAAGGAAGTTTTTTCGACAATTTTTGCGGTGTAGATGAAAACTGACCTTAAAATTGACCTAATTTTTGAGGGCAGAGGGAATTGTTCATCAATTTTTTCCGTTAAGGTCAAAACTGCCCTTAAAATTGACCTACATTTTGAAGGTAAAGGGAATTGTTTGTCAATTTTTTACCTGTAGGTTAAAACTGCCCTTCAAATTAACCTAAATTTTGAGAGCAGAGGGAATTGTTTGTTAATTTTTGACCTGTAGATTAAAACTGCCCTTAAAATTGACCTACATTTTGAGGTCAGAGGGAATTATTTGTGAATTTTTGACGTTTAGTTCAAAACTGCCCTTAAAATTGACCTAAATTTTGAGGGCAGAGGGAATTATTTGTGAATTTTTGACGTTTAGTTCAAAACTGCCCTTAAAATTGACCTAAATTTTGAGGGCAGAGGGAATTGTTTGTCAATTTTTTACCTGTAGGTTAAATCTGCCCTTAAAATTGACATAAATTTTACGGGCAGAGTTAAACGCAATTTTTAACGCTTAGGTCAAAACTGCCCTTTAAATTGAACTAAATTTTGAAAGCAGAGCGATAAGTTTGTCAATTTTTAACTTTAAGTCATAACTACTCTTAAAATTGACTTAAATTTTGAGGGCAGAGGGGTTAGTTTGTTAGTTTTTTACCTGTAGGTTGAATCTGCCCTTAAAATTGACCTAATTTTTGAGTAATTTTGACCTGTAGGTTAAAACTGCCCTTAAATTGACCTGAATTTAGGTCAAATATAACTTGTTTCTGACGATGGACCTACCTTGACAGTGGGACAACCTTGACTATATTCCCCCAACTATAAGGGTCCCTTTAAACTTTCTGAAACAGCGGTGGCGGCGATATGATTTATATTAATAGGGATAGATTACTTAACAATTATTGGAAAATTTTCTGTCTACTTCTTAAATTAAACAAATCATAATATTGAATACTATTTCTCATAAAACTTTTTTTTAAATAGGTTTGTATCATATTTCTAAATAGTAACAGTTATCGTCAAACAGAAACAATAATTCTTTAATTAAGTATTTTTCACATTAATTTCATTCTTTTTTTATAATATTTAGAAAATTTAATCTGATAGCGTACCACAAATGTAAGAATGGATATCGAAATTTTAACAATTCTAAGAAACATGCTAAAGGTTAAAACAATTGCTGTGTTAAAATTAAACATTTTCTTATAAACGTCCAAAAGATACAGTAGGGGAGAATGGGGCAAGGCTAGTTAGTGGTTGTAATGCTTGAATGGCTTATTCAAAAAGCGCGTCATTTATGATATTTTCGTGTCTTAACACTAAGGGGCCATCCATAAACCATGTAGCCTCTTGAGGGGGAGGGGGGTCAAGCAAATAATTGCGACAAGAGGAAAAAATGGCGCTAATATATGTAATAGCGTACTACATGGGGGAGGGGGGCTCAAAATTCCAAAAAAATGGGGCTACGTTGTTTATGGACGACCAAACAAATGATAGTAAAAATTGTAAGTCAATCTGACACCATTTGCGAAGTTAGGAGTTTATTTTTATAAAACACCTGTTTTTCTAAAATATCAACGTAATTTTAATCACGCTTTATTATATTCTTGTTGAACACGAATATCGTAATTTTTTTATAATTAAATTCACGTTGTTCTACAAAATTTAGGAATAATTGAAATATTGGTTCCTTACTTGCCCATGGGTCAAGAATAGTTAGAGCTAGTTTGGCACGGAACAATCCTGCTAATGCGACTACAAATTTAAAAAAAAATGTTTAATCTTTCTTTTTAGGTTGATACACCCTACGAAGGATTACCACAAACAATACGAACCCTTGAACAATAGCCTTTGTAAATGAGGGATCCAGGTAATAATATTTTCTTTCTTCCTTCATCGCAAGAAAAACTATAGATAAAAGTCAATATATATATACACTGGAACTCCCAAGAGAGTCACCAGCTGTGGTCGCGGCGTTTAGAGACGTCAGGGGGGTACAGATGGACGGGGTCAAAATCAACTAACGAAAAGCAGGAGTGTAAATTTTAAGTGTTCCTTCAAGGCCCTGGTTATTTACATATTTAAATCCTATTTTTTAAATATTTTTTTGTTTCAAACTTTTTTTCACTGTTAAATAAAATTGATCAAATTGCAATGAATTGATACCAAACATTTTTTTTATAATTTAATCCAAATTTTTAGTAATAGTTTGATCAAATTTTGTATTTATTTAATATTTTTGAGAAAACGGTTTATTTAATTAATGCAAATAACATACTTTATTTAAACATAAAATTTGTTTCTAAATTAAATATTATCTAATAGTATCATAGAATTAAACTAAATATCTGAAACATAATTTTTGTTTAACTGAAATAAAATTTAATTTTCAACTATCAATTTTTTTTATTTAAAAATGAATAGCTTTTGTTTTTATACTCTCTGATCCTAAATATGTGAAACACACGTTTTTTTAAGAATATTGTACTCCAAGTTTTAAATTATAAATAAACATTATACATTTCTATTCATATTGATAAAATTTATTTAATTTATAATATAAAATTGTAAAAAATATAAAAACTTATATTCATTTATATAAATAGAATAAATGGGCCCTTTTCATATGGACGTACAATTATTGTTTTCATAGACTCTACGGCCCTTAATGTTTACATTTTCAAAAGGTTGTAACGAGGTGAATCGTTACTTATTTCTCCAAATCTGTCTTGTGTAGGAAAAGTAAATTTCATTATAGTGAGTTGTTCGTCGTTCTCTCTCTTATCATAGTTTTGTCTTGTTTTCTTGTCAAGTCCCTTGTGTGTGTCCTTGGTTCAGCGACCCGAGACCTGTGTCATTCGTGAAATCTGAATTTAAATGATTTCGCGCATGATTAATTGCCAGAGACCGTCACATGACCAATGACCCTTTCCAAGACCATTTTAGGTGCTGTACAGTGGGGATAAGAAAGAAGGGTTTTTCCCAATTTTCCATAGGAAAAAGGAAGAAGCAAAATATGATGAGGAAGCCTACCGGTGATGAGGAGATCGGATTTACACTTGCTTGTCACTTACTTGCAGAGGTTCAAGTAGTCGCGACGTGATTTTTGACTAGCGTCAATTATCGAATTACGTTATTGAATATTTTATTTTATATTTTTGTTGTTTGATTTAGAGTTTATTTGGTTTAATTAATAAATGGGTTTTATTTTTGTTAATTGAGAGTTTTAAGTGTTTTATTTCTATTTTTGTTTGTGCTGTAAACGGTTGAGAGTGCCAAAGTCGTTATAATTTGGTAGCGTCTCAACGGTCATTTGTGTAAAAAGGAATGGTCCATTGACAAAGTTGTTTTTACATCGCAGCTTGGAGAAGAGGAACTCCCCGATGAGATTTGTGAAGATTTTGTTGTGGTGAAGTTAGTTTCGGAGTAACGGGTCGAGATGTAAATTTGTGACGTTTTATTTTCCTTTGGTAAAATTCTATGTTGCAAATTCCACCCTTACAAATGGCGCCCAACGTGGGGCCAGTTTCTTTTCCTGTGACCGGACCATGAATGACTTTTTTGATTTATTTTGACCGTATTTGGCCTAATCCTAAGCCCAGGAGTAAGCCTAAGCCCAGGACCAAGCCCGAGACCAGTTAGACCAAAAAAAAAAGTGACCC